CGCGATATATATAGTCACTTCGGGGAAAAATAACACAGGCCTTGTAGGTGCAATTATATTTTTAATTTTTTTACACGTTCAACGATTGTAATACGATAAAAGCCGTTCAATAACATATTTTTGAGGAGATGACAATACCTTAAGTATTTTTTCCCAATTCAATTAGTCTTTTGCAGCTTAAAACTTTCCTTTGAAAGTGCGAAAACGCACATTTAACCTTACCAAAATCTCGCTTGTTTTCCTATATATAGTCGGGACCGGGAGAACTTTGTACAGGTTAAATGTGCGTTTTCGCACTTTCAAAGGAAAGTTTTAAACTGCAAAAGACTAATAGAGTTGGGAAAAAATATTTAAGGTATTGTCATCTCCTCAAAAATATGTTATTGAACGACTTTTATCATATCACAATCGTTGAACATGTAAAAAAATTAAAAATATAATTGCACCTACAAGGCCTGTGTTATTTTTCCCCCAAGTGACTGTATATATCGCGAGAGTCACGTGACCTTTTGGAATCCCAATCAGTGGTGGGCTTACGACACGAAATTCTATTTTATACACGACACGTGTCGTAAATGTATTTGATGTCGTGAATGTGTCGTAAATGTCGTAAATAAAATTAGGCCTTACTTTTACCCGATAAATTAAAAGCGATTCAAAAATAAAAGTATGTAAATTCAATCTTGATACGAAACAGACAGAAGTTGATTAATTTTTTTAATAAGTAAACTATTGAATAAGTTTATATTATATTTTTCAACTATACCATCTTGTTTTAAGTATATCCATCTATGAGCCTATAAGATGTACGTGATGTAGAAATAGGCTGATCGATCGACTAAAAAACGCACTCCTACCATATCGTACATGCTTCAAACTTAAAAGCTGTAGTCAAAATCCAAGGAATTAATTTTTCGTACAGTATTTTACTGAATTAACTTTACTAGAATATTTCTTTATTCAATATGGACGGTAAGAGTTACTTAAATCTAACCTGTATAATTACAACCAATTTTGTCCAAAGAATTGAATTTTTTTGTGGTGCATTTTTTTAGATAGATTAGATTCAGAGATGATTGACCGACTATTAGGATATTTCTTTTTTGGTTGTAATATACCCTTCGTCATCGTAGAATCTGAATATTTCAGGAGATTCGTCCATGCTTTGAATCCTAACTATGCTATTCCAACAAGAAAAACTGTTGCAAATAAAATATTGAATAATTGTTTCCAAGAATTACAAGAATCAATGATTCAAACAGAAACAAGAGATGCTGTTTTACTGATTGATGGATGGAAAAATAAATCAGCCGATTCAAAAAATGTTGTTGCCATGGTAAAATTCGATGGTTTACAAAACAAAAAATATATGTACTTGAATTCATGGAATTTTAGCACTCTAAGAGAAACTGGCCACGCTTTACAAGATGTTGTGAATGAGTGTATTGGAACTGCCCGGGAAAAATATAATTTAAACATTTATGCTGTAATTTCAGACAATGCCAGCAACATGATTAGAATGGGTCAATTGGTTAATGTTTGGCACACCACATGCAGTAGTCATAGTGCAAATTTATTGTGTAAGTCTTTAGTCAGTCATGAATTTTCCAGCATAGTAAATAATCTTTTGAAAGAATTTAAAAATCTAGTATTAGAGGCTCAACTTATAGAGAGAGGTGGTAACCGAATGGTTTTAATTGGAGATACTCGTTGGTGTTCTCATCGTGATGCTTTCAGGCGGTGTTTGAGAAATATTCATTTGATGAGAGAAATAGCACGAGAACAGGGGATTCATATGTTATCTGATCCAAGCACTAATCTGTTATTTGATCCTAATTTTGAAATACAGTTACAAGATAATATATTAATTCTTGATCCAATTTGTCAACTGATAAATCAAAGTCAAAAAGCTAATTGTTCGATTGCTGAGTCGACTGAGTTATGGCTGAAATTGGAAATCCCAACTGACAATCCTAACTATGATCGCATTATTAGAGATAGAAAAACCAAAGCTATTAACATTTTCGGCCTGGCAGCAAACTTTTTACACTCTCAATATCAAGGTTTACGATTTCAAGACAACGCAGATTTTATAGCTATGATTGATCAATTTTTTTTAGAAAATTTATCTCCCCAGGGTCGCGAGGAACTTGAAGAGTTCAAAAACAGAACAAACATGTTCAATATTTTATTTCAAAGAAATTTTCAGTCAAGTGTCTTATTTTGGAAAGTAGCTCATGTCCCGACCGTACTGAACCATGCTGCTTACTATCGATAGCGCCAATTCAGTTCGATTGGGACATCGGGAATAATTTGCTATGCAGCTCTGGTGCAGAGGTACTTGCTCGGGAAAGTCGAACTGGCCGCAAAATGAAACCGCAGTCTCCCGCGTGCCGTCCCACAAACCAGCCGACCGAGCCACCGTGCGCTCCAATATGCGTATACATTGTATATATTGTATATGTATTAGGTATTGTACACTCAGTGGAACTCTGATCGGTCCCGGACCCTATTATTGAACAGTACTTCACGCCATAGTTCCGAAATAGGGTCCAAGACAGATCAGAGTTCAACTGAGTGTACACACATAGGTTATTTAAATTAAATTAAAGTTTTTTGTTTATAAAAGATCCTTCACATATTAGGTCTGATCGGGGCATTCGATATCTCGCTTAAGTAAGCAGTCTTTTCGATAATCCCTATAAAGGGTGTGTTCCAGTAACGCTCTCCAACAACTTACCGACAACTTAATTATGTCTTACGATATCTTGCGTCATGTTTAAGTTGTCGGTAAGTTGTCGGAAACTGGAANAACTTTGTACGAAAAATTAATTATTGTTTTGACCAGTCTAGTGCATACGCGGGTACACCACCAGACCAGACCACCTGTGTTGGTGTAGTATAGCGATGTAATATATAGGTATATGGTATATATATGTCGTGAACAAGTACGTCTGCTACTTGTTCATGTTTTGAATTCATGGTTGTATTTTATTTTTTCACCTTCAAACATGGGATGCAATAAATTTGCAGTTAGTGTCAAATTATCACTCATGGAATCTATAAATTCTGTAACACAAGCCGCTACCGTTTCATTTTTAATTTGAAACTTCAGATCCAACCAATCTTCAAGTTCGCAAGCTCTTACATAATTATTATTACGCTTGTTATGCGTATTAAAAATAAAATGAAAAGTAATTAAGTATTCTTTTAACTTAGCTTCTAATTTTGTGTCGAATAAAAAAGATACTATATTTTTATCAAAATCCATTTGAGCAGGGCCTATTACTTGACGTGTAGGTTTGAGATTATTTAAACATAATTGTATGATTGTTATGTAGTAGTAACAATCACTGTTCCTTTTTAATCACAGGTAATAGATCACCACCAAATTTAATCAAATCATTTTGAAGCCCTTTATCTCTAAAAATACTAAGCAAACTCTCAACTTGAATGATAAATTCTGGTTCTAAAACTTTTTTAGTGAGAGATTCTAATCTCTGTGACATACATTGAAAAATCCATCCATTGCGTTGTTCTGATTTTAAATTTAACAAGTCCTCATCACTAGCATTCAACACTAAAGCATAAACATCACTCGAATATTTGTTATTTACCTCGTCGATACTTTTTTGTAAAAAAATATTCCAGTCACCAGAGTCGTTAACCTGAACCAGGAGAGTGTTTTCTTCGTTGTCGAAAGTAGTGCTTACAACACAGTTCTCTTCTTTATAGATCATAAGGATTCCAGATGACTCAGTTGGTAAAGAAAGAACGTATTTGTCATATACCTTATAAAATAATTGTTCTAATTCCTGCCTTGATGGAAGTTTATATGCTGGTCTTAAAAGATTCAAAAAATTATTTAAAAATTTAGACTCGATGTATTCAAAACTTATTTGTAATGCAACAAAAACTTCTACAAGTGATTCGTGTAATCTAGAAACTTCAGATTCATTTACATTGTCCATGAAGTTTTTTAATCTGTTTTGTTTTCTTGAGGCGAAATTTCTTTCAAATACCTTCTTGACCTATAAAATATTTTTTGTAAATAAAGTGTAAAAGGGAATCGTAAAACATTAAACGACGTAAAATAATAAGTATCTCATTTACATTCAAGTTTTTGCAAAGAGGTATTTCAGTACTCATATCGCTAAGATTATTTAGTGTCACATCCGAGGTCACATCAGAAATTTTGCGCTTACGATCTATTTCACAAGAACCATCCTCCTTACTACAGTTGATAACGCTTATTTCTTCTAAATTTTCATCTTAGACGCTGTCTTCATTGATTACTTTATTAGGTTTACGTTGAAATTCTTTTTGTTTGCATACACGCCTAAAATAACGTACAATAAGACAAAAATAAGAATAATTTGAAAGTTATCAGAGTATTGATTTGATCAATGTCTAATATTTTAGTCAATAAGAAACGTTATAAATAAATCAATGAGCAATTTAAAGTCAAATTTGCCACCCACCTATGAGATTCTAACCTAGCGACAGCTGTATTCCCAAGCTCTGTTTTACACGTTAAACAAAATGCAACGTTCAGGTTCTTGGAATTTTTTCTTTTCACAAAGCCTAAACACTCGTACTCACAATGTTCTTTCCGCCCTGGCATGTTTTTTCCTTTTAATCAACTTATAACACAACTTATAGCACAATCACAGGCCTTTTTAAATATTTGCAAATTTTCATTTACGACATAAATGACAAGTCGCAAACAACTTCAAAAATTACATTTAATACATACATTTGCGACGTGTCGTGAAAGCACGTACGACACGACATATTATACACGACCCACCTCTGATCCCAATGTAAATTATCGAAAAAAATACTGACTTTTGCGAGATATCGAAAGCCGTGATAGAGCCCCACTGCGAAGACACGAAGGTGACGAAGGTCTATATGTCTATAGGTACAGTGGCTACACAGTACACAGCACACAGCATGCTACAGTTGCACAAGTGTGTTGGTCGGAACGTGGTCGAGTCTGCACGTCTGTAGGAAGCTTGGAATCCCGCAAAAAGTGTGAGAATTTCGCACAAATTAAATATTTTTCTTGCATCTTTGCTTGCATTTGAATTATAAACAGCGTAACTACCGTCTGAGGGAATGCCCTCTCGTGTTCTTCACTACAATACCGACGAGACACTTAAAATATTTATTCGATTATTTGGTAAGGATATTAATTTTGTAGTCTTTAAGATATCTATTTAAGCTTTTAATCAAACTGTGCAATAAGTGCCGGCGTCTTTCGGATTTATAACTTGGAGAATGAATATAGCACGAGAGAGTACTTACTTGTATTTTACTGATCAGTATGCCACTGAGAAAGATACTTTTACATTGTAAAAGTTGTGTGTGCCTTAATGTTTTTCTTGCCTTGTGATTTGTAGCATTCGTATTTATAGTACTTCAATGTTTGATTCTGATCATTTAGAGGTTAGTGTTTTGTGTTCTGAATGTAACTCAAATAAAAATATTTAAGTACGTAAGGGGTTGGTAGCATGATTTCAGTTTTCTAAAAAGCAAGCACAATTTTTATATTATCTTAGAGGTTGTTACTGTTTTCATTGAGTTTTTTTCTTGATTTTTGCAGTTTAACTCATTATTAAGACTGGTTCATGATCTCTTCTCTGTCAAATAGTCAAGATGAACTTCACTGAGCAAAGTCTTCAGAGTGCACTACCTCAGTTTTCAGAGATTTCGGTTCGTACAACAACACCTAGTTATGTATCATCTAGCAGTGATCCTCTTCTTTCAAATCATAGCACTGTTTACACGACTGCTGCAGATACCAATACCAAACAAATTTTTGTAAGCTATTGCATGTTTTCTTCGTTTTTCTTTCTACTTATTATCATATGCATAAATTGTATCAAAACTTATGGAGGTGACTGATTTTTTATTTGTCTTACGTTTCAGATTAATATGCACAACAAATACCAAAATACAGTCTTAAATTTAGCTGAACCCAATGTTTTTGTACAGTTCTGTGAAAAGCCAAATCTGCAATCATTAAATATTCCTGCTTGTAATCAAAATAATGCTATTCTTAATGTGCAGTCCCAGATCTTGCCTATGAAGATTATTCAGAACATGTATGTGGCCCAAGATGGAAATATTGAAAAACAAGATGTACATCATGTAAAAAATGAATCAGAAGATACTAACAATGTGAGTCTCTATTTTCTCGTGAGTTATTAATTATATTTCATTGATTTTTAAGTTAATTATTGCATTGTATGATTCAGGATCATTTGTCACAGCAAAATTTAGTTATAGAATACTTACAAAATATCCGGTCAGGTGCACTCCCTCTATCACTCCAACAAATAATAAAAATTCAGTCAGAGCAAGTAAAAAGAGAAAAAGAGGATGAACCTAAAAGTGATCAAGTTCAGAATAACATTTTAAACATTCCTAGTGTTCAAATTTATAAGACAGCACTAAATGATAGTAGTCAGTTTTTAAGTGACAACACAGTTTTAACTCTAAATCCAAATGACGTAAATATTCATATGGAAAGTCAATCTGAAAATCACAGTAATGTTAATACTCAAACCCAAACCCTCACTCAGAATTATAAAGCTACCCAAAAAGTAGAAACTGGTAATTCGAAACCTGCCAAAAAGACCCAATTTAGAGCTAAAATGGGTGAGATCAAAGTAATTCTATCTATTGATGGCAGCCCTTTGTATCAGTGCCCAGAGTGCAGCAGCCAGTTTCAGCAAAAAGTCGATATTAATGATCATATGCAAAAGCACTTGATGGTATTATTTTTTTGTACTATTTGATTTTCTTAAACAACGCGTGAACGGTAAATATTAACATTCTTTTCAGGAGCGAAAGTACAAATGCACGGATTGTGGAGCAATGCTGAAGCGCAAGGAGCATCTGGATCAGCATATACGCGGCCACTCGGATGAGCGTCCGTTCAGGTGCAAAGTATGCCCAAAGGCCTTCAAACGTAACGAGCATCTGACCAGGCACGCCGTCACTCACTCAGGCGACAAAAATTATTTGTGCCAGATCTGCAACAAAGCGTTCTCGCGTAAAGATCATCTAAGTAAGCACACTCAAACACATCTAGGTATCAGAAAGCCCAAAGTGAAGAAGGTCCCCTCTACGGTGTCTAATGAAGCAAGTGTGACCATGAATACTACGGCAACAACTTCAATGCTCCTCAGGCCAGATCTTAATAACTTTCTAAAAGAGGGGAGTATCAAGCCGGAATCGAAAACACAGCAGCTGTTCCAACAAATTCAAAATATGCCAGATTCAAGCAAACTTGTATTCTCCATGCTTCACGAGCACGTGTTTAAAGATAACGCCGGTTTGCATCATCAGGCCGTCAATATGAATGAGATCTTACCACAAAGCACGAGGTACCTCGCACCTTCGTAATTTTTTCTTTTTTTAACCTTTTCTGATCGTTTCAAATTAACTGAGTGCGTATACTTACGCGCAATTTTACCATGAAGTAGTAGTTAGCCGAAAAAAAACTTTTAGAGTCGTATTTGTAGACTAGGTGGTTTTTTATATATAAAAAAAAAAAATGTAAATGTTTTAAAGATAAGTAAGTAAATTAATATTTTTAGATGCCTAGATTTACATGAAATTTTGTACAAGCGATGAGTGAGTGTGATTTTTAACACGAATTATAGTCTTATGATCATTAAGGAGTATATTTCCGATCTACCATCATTGTGATTTTTTCTAAATCAATATTATTAAGTCGTATTTGTAAGAGCGTTGGTAGACCAGACGGAAAAGCAAGGCTTTTTGCATTTTTTAATGAAATTATTTATGTACTCAAACAAAGACTGCATCATAATTGTAAATACTGCTAAGTTAATACGGATATGTATTGTGTACAAAATGATAAACTTAATATTCCACTGCGATAATTAGATCTCGCTGAAGTTAGTAGCTTGCGGGCATCACTTCAAATTAAAATATTAATAAGGAACTCTACAGAAAAATTTTGAGAGTGACAATATTATCACAATTAAATTTAAAAAGTATCAGATTGAAAAAAAATTGTACATTTACCAAACACAATATTAATTAAACTTTTGTATTTACACTCTAATTATAAGTAATATGCAGTTAGATTAATTTGTGCTAAAATATTGTATAGGTAAGTAAATAAATACGAAACTACTCGATGTGCGAATAAATAAGTATTATAAACTTCAGTGACTTCGCGAGAAAAAATTCCTTTTTAAGGTAGTACTGTCGGTACTTTGACTACTATTTTCGTTTTTTTAGGTCAATCACAGATGCTTGTGAAAAAATGACATATTGCTGGATTAAACGTGGATTACACTAAAGCTATTGTTAATAAAAATGATAAGGAAAAAAAGTGAATGTTTACAGTATCGCTTAAGTACTTATGTTTATTGATTAATAACTTTCAATAGAAAAACAGTAAAAAAAACAAACAGACCACAGTATGATGCTTCTTATCTAAACTGTTTCTTAAACTTTTTCTAAATGTTAAGGCTTGAAAATTTACCCACAGATTTTTTAACATGCGGTTACATCATAAAATTTTAACTATACAATTCCTTAAACCTAGTCACAAATTTTTTGTAAAATTTTTATGAGTACGTTTCAATTTTTTGTGGGTGAATAAGATTTGTTTGACTTTTAGTATATATGATATACTGTATGTAACAAAATACAGTAACGATTAGATATTATTTTTTTCATAATTTTTTAACAATAACTATTCAAGTATTGGTAGTGTTAACACAACTTCTACACCCATTTTTTTTATCAAATTATACACGCAACTAGAGATATATCGATAGTACTACCTGAAAGGTGTGAATAATTTTTGTTGTAATTTCTGAGATGATAATTTTCAATCACATTCTAGTAACCCAAAACAAAATTTGAAGAATTTAAATCAACTTAGCACATATGAAGAAATGATCGTAGATTATGATGTATACAAATATTTTTTTGCGTTTCTAAAACATTTTAACTACGTTAATTGTCATTGTGCGATATTACTATTTGTTGTCAGCAACTTATAGATACAACATGTATATTCAGAGGTAAACTCCTTTTGATCTCTTGATAATGTTCATTAGTATTAATTTATACTTGAACTTTTATTTTCTTATGAATAAATAGTAAGTTAAGATTTTTGTATCTTTATAAAATAGAAATGTACTTTTTGTATGAAATTTGTTAATTATTTTTCCACTATACTAAAATTTACTACTAATATTAATATAGTTGGAAGTTGGCGCTGTCACTCGTTCTGTTCCACCTTCCCCCCATTCGTTACTATGAGGCTCTTTTACCGTCAAGCTTGAATCAGATGGCGCCAGGGCACGTCGCGGCTGTCATGGCCGTCTCACTCACACAACATTACTTTTCAGTTTTGTATGTACATAGGAAAGTAAAGTGTAGTGGTAAAGCGCAATATTTGAAATTTTGAAATGAATAAGGAAGACAAGAAAGAATATTAAGGGAGCTTAAAAGTTTCAGAATTGAAAAAGCTTTTAAAAGGGAAAGGAGCAAGAGTCAGTGGAAGAAAAGCAGAACTCGTGGAGGCAAAGTGGTCGAGGCATAAGCCATGACTTGGGAGCGGCAAAAATGTTGGTCTCCCAATTGCTTCGAGCCACTTTTTTTTTATCACACTATCAGAAGGAAATTTAAATTTCACTTTCTTATCGCAGGATATTACACTGCACTTCATTTTTCCTACTATCTTTAAACGTAAATGCAAACAAAAATTGTCTGCAAACAACAGCAATCATTTACAAAGGTTATATGTCTTCTGCTTTGCTCATTACACAGATAGGCTCACGAACACAATACACAACTGTAAATTTGACGGTGTGTAAGTGCGACGGCCATAACAGCCGCGACGTGCTCTGGCGCCATCTGATTCAAGCTTGACGGTAAAAGAGCCTCATTGCGTTCTTTCCCCATTTACAATAAGTTCAAACACAATGTTATGTCTTTGACAATTTTGAAATCTTTTAGGAGGTTTTATGTGGCACGTATCAATTATTGCAACAAAGGCCATACCTACTATGTTTTGAAAATATTTGTGGCCTTACATAAGTGACGTCACTTCTTTTCTTTTATTCATCCTCTTTAACTCACTGCCAAATTACATTATTCTATCATTCATATATGAATATGTTAATTCACATATATATATGTTAATTTATTCATTCTTCGATGATTAACACAGGTCAACCCAGTCAGCCTCGTACTTTTGGGAAGCTTGGGGTTAGAAATGTTTGAACTTACCAGCTAGCATATTAACTTGATTATTTTATGTTACTTTCTCAACAAAGTCTCAACGTTTCCTTCGTCACAGCATGGCAGTGATACTTCGTCACATATCAAAGGGCGCTGGGATTTTCTTCATCACTGCATGGCGCAGAGAAATAATTTTGGTTACAAGTTAGCATGGAGGAATTATTTTCGTCGCAGTACAGAGCACGGGAATTCTCTTCGACGCAAGTGACGTGGAGGAATTGTCTTCGTCGCAGCACAGCTTGCTGGAATCGTTTTCGTCTCATTACAGAGCTTAGGGATTCTCTTCGACGCAAGTGACGTGGAGGAATTGTCTTCGACGCAGCACAGCTCGCTGGAATTGTTTTCGTCTCATTACTGAGTTCAGGGATTCTCTTCGACGGAACATAACGTGGTGGATTTATTTTCGTTACAGCACTGAGTTGGAATAGTCTTGCTCGCAGTACATGTCCCTGGAATTGTCTTCTTCCCAGGCGTCGCTATGTACCTATACATGTATATCTTGCTATAGGCAATGTTATACCAACCTTTCCTTTCTTATAAGACTTTGTGACTTTGTACAAGTCCTTCCCCTGAAACGCATACCCCGCAACGAAGGTTGTGAAACTTGTGAATCGTGAACGTCCTTGTAACTACAAAATGAATCAAAATTCATGATCCTTTAAGTATATTAGTAATCATTTAAAGATCGTACAGTAATTAGGCCTGAACTATATAAGTATAGATTTTAAAAGTTGTATTAAAATTTAAGCACAATAATTTTGTGTGAATGAAATTGACTATAAAACAAATAATCTAACAATACCATGAGATTGATTTTCATTAATAAATTATTAACAGAAGCGATCACCAGAACGTATCACTTAAGAAAAATTTATCCACACAATACTTGTGGTCTTGCAAAAAAATTACGTCATACCTATGTAGGTACAACATTCAAAGTACTCATACATAGGAAAAAGTTCCAAACATGATTACGTGTCATAAATTAGTACTCAATCATATTACAAATATAAATTTTATTTTAAAAAATCCATTATCTCTTCAGATGAGAGTTTTGTCATTGCCGTTTGATTCTGGGAACTAATGTTTGAAAGCGACATCGAGGTAGGCAACATCATGGCAGGCGTTATCCAGCCAGTGTTTGGTGTTACATTGTGACCCTGCTGAAAAGTATTTGAACTTATGTGAACTGTTTGGTAGTTCCAATTTACTTGGGACGATTGCCTCTGCTGTTGAGGTATTGGGTTGACAAAGGACTGAGGTGCTGTGGCATGTGTTAAGCTGTTGGTTTGCAGATTTTTGTAGTTAGGTGTTGAATTCGTGAAAGCCGAAGTTTTGTTCGGAGATGACCAATTAAGTTGGTTCATGTTGTTGGCTAGTAGAGTGTCGGTCAGATCTTTGACCTTTGGTTTTGCAGACGTTGGCGCCGTTATGCTTGGAGTGAGTGGAGCTTGATTACTAATTTGCTTACTTATCTCTTCCTGCTTAGCTAGCCTGTAGTTATTTTCATTAAAAATTAATACTGGCAAAATTTTTATAGTAATGCTAATATGAAGAACAAAAGCAACTTTACCGAATCTTTTCATCCAAACTATAAGTCTGATACTGCGGGATTAGGGATTTACTCTGGGACAGTGTCCGAAACGACGAGTTACTCTCGAATGTCCCTAGAGGATTTGTGGATGACAACACATTTTCTGAGAGAGGATTAGTAGTCATATTATTTATTGTGTCCGTCATGTTCTCGTGGAACTGTCTTGTTTTTTGCAGCTGCTGTAAAACTTCTCGATGTTCCATTGTTACTTGTGTGATCATGTCGTTAACTAAAGAAACCAGCAACTCATACTGTTTTGGGTTCAAGCTTTGTTCCACACAAAGCGGTAACAAAAAAGGTAACACCTTTGTAGCTAATGTATCTTTGCTAATTCCTAGCTTACTGTTTGTAACAATTAGTTTATATATTCCTTAAAACGATATTACATTCATTAATAATATAATCAAATTGATTACAATCAAGCATTTAATTGAAGAATATTGCATAAGTACCTATCATTGGCATTAAAATAGGTGGTTCACCCGCGCAGGGTATCTGCTGTAAGAAAGGCAAAATTTCTTCTTTAACTATCCAGGAATCAAGATTTTCTATAAATTTAGACAAACACAACAGACAGTTTACGCGCACTCCAAGACTATGAGGACCATTATTGCCAGACATGCATATTTTACGCATCCTAGGAATGATAGAGTTCTTTATGTAGGTGACATCGATAATTGTTACAATCGATGGTAGGGCTACCAAACACTGTTCCTGAAGCTGCTCGTGTTTCGAATCTAGTGATCTTATCATCATAGGAGCAATGAAATTTTTCACGATATCTGGTGTACACCATTTTAATAACAGCTCTGTTTTTTGCAATAGAAGCAAACTGATCTGAAAAGTTTAAAAAAGAATTAATTTAGTATTATAATTTGACAGCTTATCAAAAATTGACATCTGAAAAATAAAGTATTTTAATTACTTGAGGCGGTTCTTCAATGACCAAAATTTGTTTTAACATAGGAAGAACTCGTTCGGTGAATTCTTCATTGGTACAATCATCCATAACTTGAAGAATAGTTGGAAGCAGGAATGGAATCATGGGTGTATTTATGAACTCCTTTTGTAGAGCTGGTAAAATCTTTTGCAGTACCACTCGCCTTGGAAACTTTATGAGAATTTGAGGCAAGCCTTTGTAAAACTGAGATTTCTGGAGATTATCCCATTGAAATAGTTTATCCAAATAAATTAAAGTCTTTACTTCAATGTCATTAAAATATTCAATCTGTAATATGTTTCAATAAAAATATCGTTAATTATGTGTTAATATTTTTCAGCCACATAGAATGATTCACACCTTTATAAATTGATATGCATCTGGTCTAAGCTCCAGATCACTATAAAGTATAAGTTTAAGTGTCTTTTTCAACGTTTCTGGTAAATCAAAATTTCTTGTCGAGCAGATTATAGTTTTTAGCTCATCTATATAACTTTTGTAATTAAATACGTTTTTTTTTGAATTCCAGAAAGGATTTTTAGGTGAATATAGATAACATATCAATATGCCAAGAGAAAAGATATCACTGGATGGACCTATTGTGCTGTTTTTTATGCATTCTGGAGCTTGATAGTGTATTGAAGTCTTAACAGTGCTGGGTATTGAATTATAATCAAGATGCAACCAGTTTGGCTAAAACAAATTTCAGTAATGTATTAGCCCTTCTCTATACAAAATATGAAGCTATCAATGAAATCAAATTAAAACCTTCTCGTTATGAGACTGATTTATAGCGCAAAAATCGAAACCAAAGATCTTCCAGTCTCCATGATCATTGATAACAATAGATTCAGGACACAGATTCATGTGCAACATTTTTACATCGTTGTGCAAAAAGGTCAAACTTTCTCCTAACTGATACAGCCCAAATTTTATCTCTAACTCCAATAACTTATAGTCCCTCAGAGTAACTTGTGCTTGTGCAGACATATTATCTAAACATCCCATTAGGTTAGCTAGACTAGCAAACACAGGCTCAGTAGCAAAGGCCAAGCTATCTCGTGATTCTTCCAGAGGATGCTGTACTGTAAGTATCTGAGGATGCCTAAGCTTGGTTAGCTGAACCACGCCTCTTTTCAGTGTCTCTACCACGCTGTCTCTTACAGACTTTTCTGACCATTGGTCCAATAATCTTTTCTCAAACACAAATATAGCTGCCTTCTGTTTAGTGGACTTTTTGTACCCATTATAAACTTTCCACAGCAGCCCTGGACCTGCGCTGCAGATATGGGCCGTGACTTCGAATTCTCGGGTTACTGGGTTACCTGGTAAAACACTCGACAGTTGAGACAGGCTATGCGCTGTGCTGCTCATTGTATTGCTCACTGTGTTCCGAAGCTTATTTAGAACCTCCATGTTAATCTCTGTTCAAGAAATATGAAGATTTATTCAAGACAAGCCATTCAATGTTGCATGTTGATTTTATGCTACTTACTTTTAGATTTGTTCGAGATTTTCGTTTTTTGTTCGCAGGATTGAAGTGTATCTCTGAGCCAGCCCGAAGCGGTCTCTTGTTGAATTGAATGTTATTGTATTGACCTTTCTTATAAGTACCAATATTTTATACAGAATACAGAGTAAATTTGGCCATTTGTTAAAAGTTACAACCATAGAGATAGTATATGCGAACTGTATATTCTTCTGAAAGTGGAAGCGTACGGTCAGTAGACAGAGGAAGACGACTGTTTTGGTCTTGCATCTCTCTCTGCTCTCTGCATTCATTGCCTGCTTGACAGTGGCTTGACAGTGTGGGAAGGTATTTTCACTTGTGACGTCATTCCAAGATGGCGCGATCACTGGGTTTTTTTTTCAAATTTGCACCAAATGTGCAAAACCAGCTGTGAAATTCACGAGGACGTCCCAACTAATGATAATGCGTTTAAAAACTTTAGGTTTTAATAAGCTATCGAATGATCACTAAACTTTTTACATCTTTACTTGGTAAGCAATGCAAAAAAATGAATGAAATTATCGCGGGCATAAAGTTAATTAGAAAAACATTTTATTTTTTGTGCTTACCATGATCCAGATATAACGAATTTGAAATATAGTCAATAGCGATTCTCGATGCATTAGAGGAAATTTTTTGTTTGTTTGCCAAAAGTGTAGTTTTAATGAAAATCAGTACAGAAAAAAAAGTACTGCAATCAGGCGGATTGTACCCGTCTAGTGTACATATATATGGTTGCAAGCCTCCTCGCCTCCGCGATCATAACAAAGTCCCATAACCTCTGACGAGCTGTCAAAATTGAAGCAGTGTGTGGCAAAAACATGAATAAAAGTTGTTGTATAAGTGGTTGTCACGATAAATCTGCGAAACATATTTTTAAAGAGATGACAATACCTTAGCTATTTTTTCCCAACTTAATTAGTCTTTTGCCGTTTAAAACTTTCCTTTGAAAGTTTAAAAACGCACATTTGACCTGTACAAAGTTCTCTTGGTCCCGATTATACATGTGGCAGTTCTAACTTCACAGCCGAGCAAGCGCACGCCACGCAATCTCTCGTTCCGCACGACATCTTCAGTACTTATCAGATGGCGCCATCGAACGGTTAATCGAGGCTCGGGATACGCCGCTAGTTAAGCTGGCAACTCCAGGACCAGCAAGTCAGTCCGGTTTTGGCTTGCGCGAGCAACACACGCATTTCTGTACTTAATCAATAAATCAGTGTTGAGATATAGTTCCGGCCAGACTTGGGAATTCTCTAGGACCCAGCCTAACTGACGTAGGAAATCACTAGATCAAAAAAAAAATAGTACCGAAGGATACGCGCGAGATTCAAATAAGGTCCAATAACACGAGCATCCATCACCTGATGACCCAATGTGCTTACTGGCCACTCAGTTAAAAACATAATTATTATTAACACAAGCGCCTATCACCCAATGACACGAGGCGCTTACTGGCAACTCAGATAAATAAATAATTATTGAAATAACACAAGCGCCTACTACCTCATGACCCGGGGCGCTTACTGGCAACTCTGTTGAATAAATGATTATTAATAACACAAGCACCTATCACCCAATGACCCGGGGCACTAACTGGCAACTCTGTTGAATAAATAATTATTAACATATAACACAAGCGCCTATCACCCAATGACCTGGGACGCTTACTGCCAACTCTGTTGAATAAATAATTATTAATAAATTCATCTTACTGGCCACTCTGTTAAATAAATAATTATTAAAATAACAAGCGCCTATCACCTCATAACCCGGGGCGCGTACTGGCAACACTGTTAAATAAATAATTATTAAAAAATAACACACTCGCCTATCACTCAGTGACTTGGAGCGCTTACTGGCCACTCTGTTAAATAAATGTAATTTTTAATAACACAAGCGCCTATCACCTCATGACCCGGAGCGCTTACTGGCAACTCTGTTGGATAAATAATTATGAATAACACAAGCGCCTATCACCCAATGNAACAAGGATCAAGGTATTGAGAAAATTTTGGGTTTAAACTGGCTAAATGGTTCGGATAAACTAGCATTCAAGTTCTCTGAAAGTAAAATTTCTCCTGATTTTTTGAATGAATTAAAAATTCCTACCAAACGTAAATTTCTAAGCATAATAATGTCGATTTTCGATTCTCTGGGATTTCTAGCGCCTTTTACGATTCAATCAAAAATTCTTATGCAGGAAATCTGGGAAAGCAAGATAAAGTGGGATGAGGAATTACGTGAATAAATTCATCTTACTGTCAACTCTGTGAAATAAATAATTATTAAAATAACACAAGCACCTATTACCTAATGACCCAGGGCGCTTACTGGCCACTCTGTTAAATAAATAATTATTAATAACACAAGCGCCTATCACCCTATGACCCGGGGTGCTTACTGGCAACTCTGTTAAATAAATAATTATTAATAAATAACACAAGCGCCTATTACACTTAGTGACTTGAGGCGCTTACTGGCCACTCTGTTAAATGAATAATCATTAATAACACAAGCGCCTATCACCCTATGACCCGGGGTGCTTACTGGCAACTCTGTTAAATAAATAATTATTAATAAATAACACAAGCGCCTATTACACTTAGTGACTTGAGGCGCTTACTGGCCACTCTGTTAAATGAATAATCATTAATAACACAAGCGCCTATCACCTCATGACCCGGGGCGCTTACTGGCAACTCTGTTGGATACATAATTATTAATAACACTAGCGCCTATCACCCAATGACACGGCACGCTTACTGGCAACTTGGATAAATAAATAGTTATTAAAATAACACAAGCACCTATTTTCTCATGACCAGGGGCGCTTACTGGCCACTCTGTTAAATAAATGTAATTTTTAATAACACAAGCGCCTATCACCTCATGACCCGGAGCGCTTACTGGCAACTCTGTTGGATAAATAATTTTTAATAACACAAGCGCCTATCACCTCATGACACGGGGCGCTTACTGGCCACTCTGTTGAATAAATAATTATTAACATATAACACAAGCGCCTATTACCCTACAACCCGGGGCGCTTACTGGCAACTTTGTTGAATAAATAATTATGAATAAATTCATCTTACTGTCAACTCTGTGAAATAAATAATTATTAAAATAACACAAGCACCTATTACCTCATGACCCAGGGCGCTTACTGGGAACTCTGTTAAATAAATAATTATTAATAACACAATCGNAATAAAAAAACACAAGCGCCTTTCACTCAGTGACTTAGGGAGCTTACTGGCCACTCTGTTGAATAAATAATTATTAAAATAACAAAAGCGCTAATCATCTCATGACCTGAAGCGCTTACTGGCAACACTGTTAAATAAATAATTATTAATAAATAATGTTCCCGACGATAGCGCTTAGTAATTTGTAAACGCTCGAACCCACAAGCTCCAGCTCCTGCCGCTGACGCCTAAGTATGATTGCCTAAGAAGTGATGCTCGAGGTGCGGCAAAGACTCTTTTCGCAGGAGGTAGCAGCGCTAAAGAGATTATGAAATCTCTTGAGATGCGTTTCGAAAATTCACGAATTATATTATTAAAAATTGTTCAAAGTATAAAAGATTTACCACGCATAGAACCTCACAAGATAACTTAAGTGATTCCAAGCCTGACGACATTGAAATTGTCTACTTATATCCGGCGCACAATAAAAAGCATAGGTCTTGCGTCGTTGAGGTATCTCCTGAGTNGGGCAGGGACACAACTCCCTGGCGGTTGGACCCTTAGGCCGCACACACCCAGCTTTCGAAGTTTTGTATTTGCTACCGTCCTGGCTTATTCTACAAATTCTGTAAGTTTTACAAGATTTTTTCAGTGTTCTGAGGAAGCCAGAAAAATTTTAGGATCTGATACAAAGAACTCGTTGTTCCTTGGCATTATTTATTTAACAGAGTGGCTTAGGGCGCTTACTGGCAACTCTGTTGAATAAATAATTGTTAATAAATAACACAAGCACACATAACTCAGTGACTTAGGGCGCTTACTGGCAACTCTGTTAAATAAATAATTATTAATAAAACAATTCCCTATCACATAATAATCCAGGGCTCTTACTGGCTGACCTGTTAAATAAATAATCATGAATAACTCAAGTGCCTATCACGAAATGACTTGAGGCGCTTACTGGCTTCTCTGTTACATAAATAATTAAAAATGAATAAAAGAAGCGCCTATCAGCGAATAACCTGGGCGCTTACTGGCTGACCTGTTAAATAAATTATTAATGATAAATTACACAATCACTAATCACTCAGTGACTTGGGGCACTTACTGGCGTCTCTGTTAAATAAATTATTAATAATAAATAACATAAGCACTTATCACTCAGTGACTTGGAGCGGTTACTCGCAACTTTGTTAAATAAATAATTATTAATAACACAAGCGCCTATCACCTAATAACCCGGGGCGCTTACTGGCCACTCTGTTAAATAAATAATTATTAAAATAACACAAGCGCCTATCACCTAATGACCCGGGGCGCTTACTGGCCACTCTGTTAAATAAATAATTATCAATAACAGAAGCGCCTATCACCAAATAACCCAGGGCGCTTACTGGCCACTCTGTTAAATAAATAATAATTGAAATAACAAAAGTGCCTATCACCTAATGACCCAGGGCGCTTACTGGCAACTCTGTTAAATAAATAATTATTAATAACACAAGCGCCTATCACCAAATGACCCGGGGCGCTTACTGAACACTCTATTGAATGAATAATTAATAATAAACAACAGAAGTGCCTATCACCGAATAACCCAGGGCACTTACTGACTGACCTGTTGAATAAATAATTAATAATAAATAACACAAGCACCTATCACTTAGTTACGTGGGGCACTTACTGGCAACTCTGTTAAACAAATAATTATTATTAGAACAAGCACCTATCACCCAATAATCTGGGGCACTAACTGGCAACTCTGTTAAATAAACAATTCTAAATAACACAAGCGCCTATAACCCAATAACCCGGGGCGCTTACTGGCTGACCTATGAAATAAATAATTAATAATAAATAACACANTGTTATACTTAATGTTTTCTGTACTGTCCTCGAATATTTCTTCTAAATAAAGTTTCAATTTTTCGACACCCGGGGATTCATTACAGGACGTGAAATAACACTCTTCATGTGGTTTATCACAAATGATAATATTAATA